TGCGTTCTGTAGATCATGCCAGTCTCCAAACTTTACCTGGCTCCTTAACTGCTGAATCACATGATCACAGAACTCCTTGTTGTTCTGCATGTCGAAGGCCATGGGCATGTCGTCGACGTGAAGGCATACTAGTCCAACGAACTTCCCTTGGTTCAGCAACTTGAAGTTGGCAGTCTCAAACTGCAGCTGCTCGAAGCCGATGTTTCGCATAATCTGGGCAATTCTCTTGTGCCAATCCCCTGCTGCGTCGTTGGTGCCATAGATGCCCTTGTCGAGCTCGAGTGGGCTTCCTTCTTCGATTCCAGGCATGCCCGTGCCCTGCAAGTTCCGGGGCATTTTGAAATGCACTTCCTTCTCAATCTTGACTCCCTGCAGAAAAGCTCCGGTAGCATCGCCAGTGTAACATGAACATCGCTTGCACGCGGCAGTGCTGCATAGTTCTGCATCAAGGTTGAGCATGTCGGCGAATCTCTTCGTAGGTTCTGATCGTGCTTCCCCTGGGGGCCTTTCCCCACAACGCGACATTCGGGTTGGAAATTAGCGTCGTGATCACGACCCTTGTTTGCCCATGCAGCTCGGCTCTCGATCTGTGACGACTTATCGATATTATTGGCCGCTGCTAGTGAAATTTCTGTCACGGCGTCGTGTTTGGTCCAAGTACTCCAGTCTTTAATAAGTGCGTTGGGACACTTCTCGGCGCGTTGTCGGGTATATCAGTCATCGCGATTGAGTGCCTCCCGCATGTCCATCTCGCCCTTCGATGCTCGGTCAGCTCGCTCAGCCGCAAAAGCTTCGCACATGACCGTGTTGGTGTCGTAGGCGGTGCGCTATCTCTTGTTGTTCTCGGTGACCGTGGTGTTGCGACCAATGTGTGTTCGCCCTCCGTGCGCAGTCTGGGATGCTGGCGTCTTCCCTGTAAGTGTCGATCGCCCGGCACGCTCTGCCTCGCCTTGTTCGCTATTTGCTTGTTGGCGAGTTCGTTGTCGTTTTTGTGCGTCTTGTTCTCCTGGTGCTGCGCGAGGCCGAGGTCCGTCGTCAGTTGATCCAGGCGGCGCACGTGGTCCTGCCGCTGATGTTGGAGGTGGTGCCGGATTGTCCGGACCAAACGATTGAGGTGGTCTTTGAGGTTCAGTGCTTTCGGTAGGCCGGTCTCGTCGAAGAAAATTTAGGTTCTATCCTTGTTCGTTGGAAGGGCCATTATTTGTCTGATACGTATGCGCCGCCGCAACATCCTTCATGTCCATATCTCGTACCAGAGGAATTTCAAAGGGTACTTCCAGACTGTTGCGAGACATATCCTCGCGTAGGGCCTTTTTGTCGTAGTTGAAGATGCGTCGCCGTAGGAGCCTGTCTCGAGGAATAACATCTTCTGCTGGTAATGGGGCCATCATGCATCGTGTAATCCTTGTCGCCAGAACTGCGTCATATGGGTCACGGGGCTGTGCTCCAACGATCATCTCCCAGGTGCTTGGTGTACTCCATGATCCTTCTGGCCATTCAACTTGTACGCGACGTCGCTGTGTCGGTGGTTGACCATCTCCGTCATCAGGTTCTTGATTTGGTGTTCCCTCCATACTCGGTGGGTCCTGTTCGGGTTGGCCAGGGTCTTCTGGTGGTTGAGACTGAGGTTCCTATGTAGGCTGTGGTTGTAGTCCTAGCTGCAAGGGCTCTCGTAACGGTGTAAAAGTCGTGTTCCGAAGATCAAAGGAACCATGGTGGCCATGGGGAGCTCCTTGCCACTCGCGCTGATCTCCGGGAATGCGATCCCCAATCTCATTGATCGTCGATCTCCTCAGGAATTTCGGCCCAGCCAAAATCGGGGCACCATTGCGAATCGACCAATATCCAAACTGATCCTTGCCAATCAGTCGAGCTGGTCCTTGCCACTTCCGATGTAGGTCGCGTTTGCCTCCACCTGTGCGCCTGTAGTGAACCCATTCACCTCGCTCGAAAGGTCCAGGCTGAGGTCGGGTCTTTGAGGGCGCAGCTCGTCGTAGTGCTAAACTGCTGGCTGACTCGTGGAACGCAATATCACAAGCTTCTTGTAGTCGCAGTCGGTGCCGCATGGGCGATCCTTGAGTAACTTGTTCAGCAACCTCGGGATCGGTATTGATATCTCCGAGAGATTCCCGTCGTGAGGGGTTCTCGCCAAGTACCCACTGCGCTGGGCTGAATCCTTCGTCGTTGGCGAGTCGGTTCATAGTCTGAGCAATCCGGAATCCGGCAACTCGGGCACTCTCGTCATCTCTGACCTCCAGCTCGCGCAACACTTTAGTGGCCATCTCCTTGAAGAAACGGATATTTCGCTCAACCTTCCCATGTTGGCGATGCTCTTCAGGAGCAACTGGACTGCATGGTACTCCGAGACCCTGACACATGTTCTCAAACTCTAGGCGAAAAGCTGCGCCCTGATCACTCTGCATCTTCTCCGGGGTGAGCAGATTGCGTTGCCAGCCCTCCGTGAAAGCGATCTCCGCATGTGCTGACGTTGGACTTGGCC